GAGGTTAAAGCAGGAAGCTACTGCTGTATTCTAGGACTGAGGCAATAAAGGTCTGAAGAGTGGAAATGGAGTAAACCTGAGGGTTTAATTGCCATTGGAATAATGATAGTCATTGATTCAAAGGAGAGGGAAGAAGCAACTACCCTTAGCATGGGGGATTGAGGTAAAATGTCACAACAGACTGAAGAAGGATTGGAAGAGGAGGAGGTTGTGCTGAGACAATGGTAGCACTGTTACAGAACGCTATAGGGAAACTTTGTATATAACTCACCTTCATGTCCTCAAAATCTGTTATCCCTATTTGAGGGAGATTTGAGCAGTTTACATGGATGAGTTTTCGGCCACTGATGAAGTTTGTAGTAAAACACTCCTGTCCAAAAAATAAAAACACCACCTTAAAGTGTGCTGCAATTGGAAGGAAAAGGAGAAAGGAAGGGAAAGGAGAGAAAGAAGCAAGGAAAGTAATCATACTTACCTCTAGTCCTATATTGAGAACATTTATTTTGTATTATAACATGTTTTGTTTTTTGTCAGTTATGGAGCTTGAACTCTGGGCCTGGGTACTGTCCCTCAGCTTTTCAGCTCAAGACTAGTGCTCTACCACTTGAACCCACAGCACCATTTCCAGTTTTCTGAGTAGTTTATTGGAGATAAAGAGTCTCACAGCCTTTCCTGCTGGGACTGGCTTTAAATACCAATCTCAGATCTCATCCTCCTGAGTAGCTAGGATTACAGGCGTGAGCCACTGGCGGCTGGCTTTAATCACACATTTTCTATCTAAGCTCTTTGGGCCCTGTCCCACAGCTCACTAGAGTCACAGTGCCCCTTCAGCTTTTTCTGCTTATGTGGTGCCAAGGAATCGAACCCAGGGCCTCATGCATGCAAGGCAAGCGCTCTACCACTGAGCCACCTTCCCAACCCTCATCTAAGCTCTTGATTCAATTCATACTGCTGCTTCAAGGTTTTTTCTTTTTGTTTTTTTTTTTTTGTTTTTCCTTCCAACAATTAATGCTTCTTCTTGTCTCAATTATATTTTTAAGTGCAAATGGTTTAAGATCTTGGGTTATTTTGTAGTAGCTTAAAGTCATAGTTGGCATTGGTAAATTAAGAAATTTACAGTTGGGCACTGGTGGCTCACACCTTGTGAGCCCAGTAATCCTAGCTATTCAGGAGGCTGTGATCTGAGGATTGCAATTTGAAGTCAGTTCAGGCAGGAAATTCCATGAGACACTTATCTCCAATTAACCACCAAAAAACCAGAAGTGGAGCTGTGGCTCAAGTTGTAAAGAGCTAGCCGAGTGGAAATGCTAAGGGAGCTCAGTGCCAGTGGCTCATGCCTGTAATCTTAGCTACTCAGATGGTTGAGTAGCTTACATACCAACCCAGGCATGTAAGTCCATGAGACTCTTATCTCCAATGAACCATCAGAAAACCAGAAGTGGAGCAGTGGCTCAAAGTGGTAGATCCCTGAGCAAAAGAGCTCAGGAACAGCACCCAGTCTTAGTTCAAGTCCCACGATCCACTCCCATCCAAAGCTAAGAGACACTACCCAGGCCCCGAGTTTAAGCTCTAGTACTAGCATAGAACAAAACAAGTGCTCACCTTGAGCTGAAGAGTTCAGGGACAGCACCTAGTCCCAGAGTTCAAGCCCCACAACGGACAAAAAAAAAGTTTACACTGTTTTTTGGTAAAATACATTTGGGTTAATTGGCTAAACTTATGTATTTGGTAGAAATTTATAGTAGAAGTCCAGGTAAGGAATTTGCAATTAAAGCAACTTGCAACTTGACATCTTTTTACAGAAAATATATTTTGAAATGTATTCTCTTTTTCTGGTCCTGAGGCTTGAAAGCAGAGCCTGGGTGCTGTCCCTGATCCCCTTTGTGCTCAGGGCTATTGCTCTACCACTTTGAGCCACAATGCCACTTCTGGTTTTCTGATGGTTATTTCAATGTCTCATGGACTTTCTTACCTAGGCTGGCTTTGAACTGCCATCCTCAGATCTCGGTCTCCTGAGTAGCTAGGGTTACACCCACTGGCACCTGGCTTGAAATGGAAATTTTTATAAGAAAGGGTTTATAAAAATGTCTTGGTCTTTATTCATAGACTGTAGAGAAATGTAACCACAAGGATGGGTAGGGAAACAAATATGACCTTCTCTTTCTCTCTCCAAACAGAAATATATACATCAGCTACAGACTGGTTGTGCTAGATACAGTGACAAAGTATATGCTTATCATATGCAAAACCCCAGGTTCCATCTCTAGCATATTCCCCCTTCCCCTACACTGCAGTGACTTTCCTTCTAGTCCAGGATTTTTCTTTTCTTTTTTCTTGGTCGTGGGGCTTGAACTCTGGGCTTGGGTGCTGTTCCTGTGCTCTTCAGCTCAAGGTGAGTGCTCTACTGCTTGAGCCACAGTGCCACTTCCGGTTTTCTATTGGAGATAAGAGTCTCACAGACTTTTCTGCCCGGGCTGGCTTTGAACCGTGATCCTCAGATCTCAGCCTCCTGGGTAGCTAAGATTACAGGCATGAGCCACTGCTGCCAGGCTAGTCCAGGAGTTTTCTATATACTCTTTTTTTTGGTCAGTCCTGGGGCTTGAACTCAGGGCCTACACACTGCCCTGACCTTCTCACTCTACTGCTTGAGCCACAGCGCCATTCTGGGCTTTTTCCATTTATATGGTACTGAGAAATCGAACCCAGGGCTTCATGCATGGTAAGCAAGCACTCTACCACTAAGCCACATCCACAGCCTGTATATATTCTTAATGAAGAGGAGGTAAAAACACAGGTCAAGTTAGAGAGCATGTAATTTTTTAAAAAATGTTATTTTTGTATACCTTGTATTGAGGGAAGCCTAAATAGCTAATCCAATCTGCAACTTTCTCTGGGCTCCATGTCAGATATTCAAAGTCTTTTATATGCTCGAATTGGTACCGTTTATTAAACAATTCCTCCAATTCTAGAGATGGATCAAATTCTGAACTAGAGGATGTTCCCTCATCCTGAGACCCTGAGCGATATAAGTGCAAGTATTCTGTACTGATAAAAGAAAGTAGTTTTTGGAGTTCTGGAGATGAGACTGAATCATCCATACTCACTAATTCAACTTCACTATCTCTAGCTGTGTCAGTTTCTTTTTTGGACAACTTTCTTTTTTGATACTCAGGGTGTGCACGCTCATCCTTGTCCACAGAACCATCAGATTTGATTTGCTTTGAACTCATTTCCTGGGAAGATTCTGCATGTTTCTCCCCAGTTTTGTCTTTGCCTGATAACTTGAGATTTTTCTCTACTTCTATTTCCCCTTTTACTTCTAGTTTGGGTGACTGTGGTGGAATTTGATCTGTTTTATCAGGTGATTTCCCTGAATCCTTTTCTGGAAACTCTGATTTAGTCTGCTCTGGCAGTTCTTCGCCTTTCTCCTCTGTTGATTCTTTTAGTGTTTCCTCTAATTCAGACTTCTCTAGTGTTTCCTGTTCTGTCTCCTCACTTGATTTCCTCTGCTTCTGTTTTTGATCTATTGGTTTGGTGTCCTCTAATGACTTTCTTTGCCTCTTCTTTGGTTCCATCTCTTGTGGTACTGCTACACTAGCCTCTTCTGGTGGACCTGTAACCTTTTCCTTATATGACTTTCTTCTTGTCTCCTTTGGATTTTCTGATGGCTCAGGACTTGTTTTGTCAATTGATTTTCTTGATTTTTCACCAGAAAACTCTGGTTTGCTCTCTTCCAGTGACTCTGGAACTTCCTCCTTAGTCGAGTCTCCTGGTTTTTCATCCGGAACCCTTGCCTTAATCTCTTCTAGAGACCCTGGATCTGCTTCTTCGGTATAGTTTCCTGATCTCTGATCTGAAAACTCTGGTTTGCTCTGCTCTGATAGCTCCATACTTTTCTTTTCAATCGAGTCTGTTCGTGTTTCTTCTGTAATTTCCTCTTCAGTCATCTTTCCTGGCTGTACTTTCTCTTTGACTGATTTCTCACTTGGTGTGATCACTGGTGTGATCTGGCCTGAAGGCTCTATTTCTTCATATTGTTCCTCAAATAGTTTCTCTGGAACCTCTTGTTCAGTCTCTTCTGGTATTTCCGATCTTGACTCGCCGATAGGAGCTTCTGGACCTATTATTTCTGTAGCTGACTCTGTGAGTTCATAGTATGGAAGAGCTTGGTTAACCTCCGCCAGTGGATCTATGTAGGTCTCATACATTTCATTCTCATATGTTTCATCATTCTCATACCTTGGATTCTCATACCTTTCATCGTAACCCAGTCTGGATGTCTCTGATTTCAACCCTTGGGAGCTCCCTGGTTTAGTTGGGCTGGACAGGTCTCTCTTGCTGTGAGGGTCCTCCTGGGCTGTCCCGGTTGGCTCCCGCGCTACGTCCTCCTCCCCAGCCTCTGCTGACTCTGGCTCTTGCCCAATCTCTGAGGATGGCTGTGGGCCTGCCCTTCCCGCAACGTCAATCTCGACAACCTCGTACGTGCCACTAAGCCTCGGACGTTTAAATCTCTCAAAAAGCGTGTACTCATCTTCGTCAAGGCTGAAATCATAATCCTCGGGGTCTGCTGACATCGTGCAGCTCCGCCGGCGGACGCGCCCTGGCCGCCTAGCAACCGCGACTTCCGACAGCGTCTCTATGGACACCGCGGCTTCCGGCGGCGGCTTCCGGACTCGGCCCCAGTTGAGATGGGTTCTCCCAAGCCCGGACTTTTAGAGAAAAATTAGCGACCCGACCGCGCCGCCAGCCTCCGCCTTGTCCGGCCGGCCCGGGGCCTCACGCTCTTCCCGCGGCTGCTTCGCCGTGGCTGCGGGACTTGGGTTCGGCTCCATTCGGTTGGGCTCGGCCGAGGTTCGCCTGGGCTCGGCTCCGTTCGCCTGGCCTCGGCGGGGCTCGGCCGAGGTTCTCCTGGGCTCGGCTCCGTTCGGCGAGGCGAGGCTCACCGCCTCGGCGTTCGCTCGGCCTTCGGCTGTTTCCGGAGGCGCTCGAAGCCCGCGGCGACGAGGCTGTGGGCGCGGGCTGCAGATGTCGGACCGGCAGGCGGCTGAGGGGCCGGGCTTCTGGAGCCCCGCAGTCCGCCGAGGGTCGGCGGGAGACCTCGGGGACCGCCCGCGAGTGAAGGGGAGCCAGACGGTCGCCTCAGGTAGGTCAGGCCCGGGCGTTGGGGGGCGA